TACTTAATTTTAATGTGCTATAAGACTTAAAGTAAATACATAGTGCTACTCAATTGCAAATCTTTTTATATCACTATCATAAGATTAAAATTTCAATAAATGGATAAAATATATTAGTCGTCTTATAAATTTTACATAACGAGATTCATAACGAAATTCAGTTTCGAAACTAATCTTAAGTGGAGCGTTATAGAGTAAATTGTTGGGTATTCGTAGAAATAAGAAAAAAAAATAACACGATAACCCAATGCATAGATTAAGATAGGATAAAGAACCAATTTACTCTTTTTACTTTCGTGTATGAGTATAAAGAATATAATGTGTATATTGGTCGTACAGGTTCAGTTCCTTCCAATGACTGGAAACAGAAACGTTAGCTTTTACTAGGATTAGCTGCAGCTCAACTCGGTTATGACGAGAACTTTATAATATTGAGGCTTTGAAATCGGAAAGCTTCAGTTGCGCCAAGCCTTAAAAATGTCCTTTTTTAAAAACATTATCCGTAAATTGCTTTTCGATTTGAAGTTCATACAAATAATAAACACTTTGTGATTTCTTAAGGCCTTCCCTAACTATAAATATCAAACGCTATTCTTATATATTCCAAAAAAGAAAATAAATAAATAAACAATTTAAAGCGCAAATTCTCTTGAACTAGAAGAGCTTTTTATGTGGCACATTATATTAAAATACATACGTACAGAAATTAAGGCACTTAGAGAGCCAAGTGAAAATACAAAGAATTACGCTTTTACTTGGGAAATCGAATATCTAAAAGTGTTTAGGTTTACTACCTGGTGTTTTCAGAATTAAAAAAATAAAAATAATTAAAAATCTATTGTGATATTTAATTAAAGCATATTTAATATAAATATATTTGGAGCATATATAATATAATTATATATAGACTATTATTAAACACCATGGGCAGCCATGGGAATATACATTGGATATGAATTTTAAATAAAAGTCGTCGCTCCGAAGAGCATAGATCGTAGTTCACTCATCTGAGTGGGACCTAGATTTTGATCGAATAGTTTTAATCAAACCACAATTTATACAAATATGTATATATACATATATATACCAAATTTATATAAAGTTTCTATACTAAACCAGCATATCCTCCATCCAATCTACAGCAACAACCTTTCCGTCGCTGGCAACGAACGCATTGCTGCGTTTCCATCAACAGCAGCAGCAACATCATCATCAGCAGCAGCAACAACATATTCAAACACAACAGCAGCAACAGCAACAGCAACAACAACAACACAAGGCAGCAACAATGTTGCACAGCTCAACGACGTCGTCGTCGTCGGCTGCGACTGCGGCTGCTGCGCTGCTGGCGCCTTTGAATAGCCTCAAGACACTGCAGTTAACGCAGCAGCAACGTTTCTTGGCCAAAACAGCGCATCAACAGTTGCTGGACATTCCGACAACGGCAACAGGTGTTGCAAACACGTTACAAAATGGCGGCCTCAGCAATAACAGCAACAACAACAGCATCAACAACAACAACAGCAGCAGCATTAGCAACAACAACCACAGCAGCAACAATAGCAATGGCAAACGGAAACGTTCGTGGTCGCGAGCCGTGTTCACAAATCTGCAGCGCAAAGGACTCGAGATACAATTCCAGCAACAGAAATACATAACCAAGCCGGATCGACGCAAATTGGCAGCACGCCTGAATCTGACAGATGCTCAGGTAAGCTTTGGCCAAATGCCAGCCATGAACCACGCTAAAGCTTGATCGATTCACAGGTCAAAGTGTGGTTCCAGAATCGACGCATGAAATGGCGTCACACGCGTGAGAATCTAAAAAGCGGACACGAGAAGCAGCCACAGCCCCAGGGGCCAATGGGCTCCAGCAATAGCACGACGAAGCCATTGCTGATACCATCCGGTGCTGGAGCTGGAGCAAGGCCACACGAGCTATTGGACTATAGTTCGGACAGTTGTTCCAGCGTGGAGCTCAGTGAACGAGCCGACGACGATGATAACATTGAAATCGATGTAGTTGAATAGCCACAAGTCAATATATAAATATGTATATCTATTTTATAATATCTAGCATATAGAGATTGTCAGCGACAATTAAGTTCAAGTTTGTTTAATAGCGTAATTAATTTATGTATAAAACACGAATTTAAATTATTACAAATTATATAAATTAAGCATTTACAACTTAATATTTAATACATAATAAATGTTATCTGTACAAAATGAATATTTATGCGTATTTGTTTTGTACAAGCTTTGCATAAGGCAAACAAAATTGGTAAGAGCAAATGATCTGAAATTATACTTTATTCTATTATTATTTATCTATAGTCGAATATTCCAGTATCTGACATCATTCTGTTTAGGAAGCAACTCCGTAAGCACTCTTTGGAAAATCTAGTAAAGTCATCTGATTCCGGACTTATAAATTCTATCGTCCTAACAATCTAAAAAACTGTATTGAATCTATAATTTGATTACAAGTTCTTGAGTAAGGCAAGTGGGAAATCAAAACCCGCAATCGATCTATCTATCTCACTCTGTATATGTCTGTCCATTTCAAATAAACTTGTAATTTATTTACTTAAGACTCAAAGCACAGAGTAATTTTTTGGTTTTGTCATAATTAACTCGGAAAACTCATTATGCTCACGCTCTTTTCGGGTGTAATGAACGAGGAACAGTGGAATCAGACTGAACTAGAAAACCCGAAGCTGCTTGGAAGCCTGACCAGTTGCCTTGATGACCTGCTGTAGGTAAGTCGCAGTTCTTTGGCTTTTGTAAGATATATAAATATATATAATAATTAATTATATTTATTTAATAAAATTAAAATTATTTCTTTGGCTCTTGTAAGATATATAAATATATATAATAATTTGTTATATTTATTTATTAAAATAACTAAAGTAAACGAAGACATAGTCGCTATAATGAAATAATTTGAATATATTAACGTAATATAAGTTGTAATGGTTTTTTAAGAGCATCTTCTGAAGTTAGACCTGAAAGCTGAAATCTGAATTCGGATCGAAGCAAAGTTACCGAATCAATTATAATCGTATCGGATCATGATAATGATTTATAATAATAATTTTGATATTGGTAATGATCATGAAGATCAAAGATTAAATGATAATTATGTATAACTATGAACGTATTTGAATTAATATGAATTTCTTATAGTTGAAAATATACTGTTAAATAACTGAATCGAATTTCGAAACATACAATAATTTTCTACCTAGTCAGCATAAAAGAAAACCTAATAACCCCAAACCACTAAGTAAAGTGTAAAAACTGAACGCTTTAGCTTATTGCTTTATGAAATACAACAGATAATTATTATTTTTGTTCAAACAAACAAGCTAATGAAGCCAGCTATGCATATTACGTAGATACTATCTCAGACACAGATCTCCATCTAATAACTTAGACTAATGATCAGCAATATTCCATAATTAGAATGATCTGACCAAGTGCCTCACATACTTATGAAAACAAACAATTAGGGATTAGCTGAACAATTTATAATTGATAAAGCAACATATTAATACCTCATATATCATTAAAAGCAATTTACTCTTAATGCTCTGTCTCTCCCTCTCTCCTGCACTCGCTCTCGCTCTCTTTGCACTCTTTGTGTGCCGCACAGAATAAACAATAATAGAACACGCAATGCCATTTTCTTATAATAAACAACCGAAAATTTAATTAAAGATATACCGCTGCGATCAGCAGAACTCGAAACTGCGACGAGGAGACCTTCTAATCTAGAGAATGATAAAGCCCGATACCCGATACCCGGCGACAACGGCTGTTGGTCAAGCGCGGGGGCCTCAGCCGTAGCGGATCAGAGAGACAATTAGGCAAACAGTGAGCGCAAATTATTGACGAACGACATTGAAAAAATACTTCAATTGTTATACACTGACAAAGGGTATTCAGAATTTGTTACATTGGTTTGTAGTGCAACCAGAAACTAAGAAAGTTAAAGCCAACTTCTCTTAATAAAATATGTTTATTTAAAAATATATATATTTAAGAGAAATATTATATAAATAAAAAAAAAAACAAAAAATCTTTATTGATTGATCAACAATATTTGATTAAATAAAGAAATTTAAGGCAGATATCTAATGCCAAATCAAATAATAAGCGAGTATATACTATAGCAGCATTGGGATAATGCATCAAGATATATGCTTTAGAGATAGATATATTATATATAAATGGTGCTATTTAATTATAAAGACAAAAATAAATGTGAATATGGTACAAAAAATATAAATATTTATTACAAAATAAATTATTTCTTTTTTTTTTCCAATAGAAAAAAAATAAAAGTGTTTAATATAAATAAATAGATAAAGAAGAAAATAATATTTTAAAATAAATATATATATTGAATTTTAATATATGTATGCATATATAAGAACAATATATATGTTTATAATATAAAAAAAAAAAAAAGAAAATCGTTAAATAGTAGCAAAATATATGTTCCAATATTGAATCAAATAATTAATTTTTTAAAATATATTAATATTTTTAATAGTCTATTATGTTTAGAAATATTTTTTAAATAAATAAAAGTTAGTATAAATCAAATATTTATAGGTACTAAGTTTATAAATACTAGTTACAACATTTTTTAAATAATTAAAAGTTAATGTAAATAAAATATTTAAATATAGTTTATAAATACAAAATTAAAAAATTTTTATAAAGGTTTGACAAGCAACAAATTAGTTTTCATTGCTTTAGTAATTATTTTTAGTATAAATCAATTATACTATAACTTAAAAAAAAATATCAATGAATATAAAACAAAACCCAACCTACTCAATTTTGTTAGAGTATTTACTTAACGACTTGACATGCCTCAGGTTTCTTCAATATTGTTTAGCTAGAGCTTCGTTTGTTCAGTTTGTTGAGACGAAGCGCTGTGAGCGGTTGAAAATTTCAGTTAACGAACGCGCGGCAATGTGACGGCTTAATTATAAAGCTAATATAGTTATAGACAAACGCTGAGAACTACGTACAAATTGTTGAGACAATGGGTAATGTGCAAACGCGTCAACTCGACTCGCGGAATGCCACAAATAGACGCAGCAGTAAGTGGGATAGGAATTTGCAAAACAAAAAAAAAAATATCTTATTGATACAATTTGAAAACACACTGTCTCTCGCCCTATTTGTTTTTTTTTTTTTTTTTTTTGTATCAATTAGGCATCCTTTGGAACTTCCGTTATCCCAATGGCAGCAGGCGACGCGACGATGTTGCCATGATCATCCACAACTCCAGGTTGAGCATTAGCGAATGGCTCAATCTGCTCGAGCTGCAGCAATATGAAGGTCAGTTTAGTCAGCACTTTTTGTTGTTCTGCGGCAAAAGTGCATTAACTCACGTGTCACATCCGCTCAAGCAGAAAACCTGAATATGTATGCCACTGTGAATGATGTTGGCGATCTAACCGATAGAGACTTAAAGCGTTTGGGCGTACGCAGCATTACCCATCGCCAGAAAATGCTCAACAGCTTGTTGGGCGTGCGGGCCAAGCGCAGACAGTCCATGAATTTGGAAGGTAAGTGGCAAAAAATATTTAATTGAATACCAATCCATGGCTGGTTTATCTACGAACAGCCATGAGAAGTGCTCCGTGTGCGGTGCCGCGTCGCAAGGGCTCCTGTCCCATGGTTTATCTAGATCCCGATAATGTGGCCGACAGCAATGACAGCGGCGGAGCACCTGTGGTTACCACGAAAAGTGGCAAGGTCTTAAAGCAATTGACATTCGATGAGACAACAACAATGTGAGTATGCCTAAGAAATTGCACAAAAACTTATGCAAAACTGTAGAGTTATTTCTTGAACTTCACTTGAACTCATTTGCCTCAGTGACCTTTAGGCAAGCTTGACTGTTAAATTATCTTTATCAATTCTTTAAATCTCTTAAATGCATAAATATGGTCATGTCATAGCACAAATTGAATCGAATAGTTCATAGTTATATAGGAAAAAGAAACAAACAAATAATTTGCATAGTATATAAATATGCTGAAAATTCTCATAATTTAAGATAAAATATTATCAATAGTTGAATAGAATAGTATAATAGAATTTACGAATTGAATAACTGCTCTTATCTTAATTTCACCTACTACCTTTTATCGATAACTATATAAAAATAAGTTCTATTAATAATCTCCATAAACTTTATAGTTCCATTCTATAGGATATATATACATAGTATATATTACATTATTTAATTTTTTAATTTAATAGTATTTTCATTTAAATTGTCCACAATTTCATATTTAAATAAAACGAATCCTCAAACAAGTTTCACTATTCGATAACATCCGCATGCAACTTCTAGCTCTCACAATTCCCTGCCTGCTTGCCCGCATATTACCGTTAATAACAACCACTTCTCCAGCCCCTCACACACATAAATATATTTCAATAACAAAAACTCTGCGCATGCCCCAAAGAATTTCCCATAAATAGAAAAAAAAAACACAATAAACGTTATGCCGTTAGGCAGGCGGCATAAAAATCTTAAAACAAAACACAAACAACTCGGGCCAAGCGAACAACCCTCACAAGGACATTCGACATGTGCCAGGGTGGGCCAAAAACGCAGAGCGAATTTAGATGGCAAAGAGTACAGACGAGGTCGACGCGATAAGAAAGCACCAGATAAGAATAAACTAAAAGTATTACAGTTTCAGTAAACAGAAAATTAATTTTAAAAAAAGAGCTAAAAAAAAAAACAATTCAATTTAAATATCAACATTCTATTTCCATGCAAAGTCTGATAGTATTAAACAAACAGAATATAATTTAAGGCGTGTCCTTCTTATATATTCCGTAACGAAAATCTAGCAAAATGGGCGTAGCAGGTAAGTGATAACAATTTGTAAATAAAAAGCATTTAAAATTCAATTGAATCGACAATATTCATTTACAAATGAAAAATTGTTGCTTAAATTCCGCGTAAATAATAATTACAGCTTTTACTACAATTGCATTAGCGTAATTTTTTTTTTTTTATTTTCTGCACTTGAACTTCAGACAAAAGTTCGCATATACCAAGAAACAATCCTGTGGGAGCGAATTTCCCTTTTCAACACTAGCCCGGCTGTGTGTGTGAGGGCAATGTACACAAAGCTCTCACACGCACTCCATAAATTACCCATAATAAGGGAAATTTGTAAAAGTGCAATAATTCACACTCTCACGCTCTCTTCTTCTACTCTCTCTTTCTTTTGCGCTCCCTTTGCAGCTATGAGGAATTGAAGCCGCGCTCCAAGTGCAACAGTCCGCATTGGGGCGACAACGCCGACGACATGGAAAGCGGCAATAACAGTAACGTGTCCACGCCCCTGGCCGCCTCGCCCAATCCCAATGAGCAACAGGAGGCCATTGCGCTGAAAAAGGCTCTCGAATGGGAACTGAGTTTGGATGCCAGAGAGCTGCGCTCGCATGCCTGGTACCACGGCGCCCTGCCACGTCAACGGGCCGAGGAGATTGTCCAGCGAGAGGGAGATTTTTTGGTGCGAGATTGCGCCTCTCAGCCGGATAACTATGTGCTCACCTGCCGCAGCAAAGCAGCTGTCTTGCATTTTGTGCTCAACAAGGTGAGTGAAGAGGAAGAGTTAGAAAGGACAAGTGCTGGGTAAGATGTAAGAAATGAATGAAGTGGGAAGACTCTAATTTATTTCTATGTTATAATGCTAATGAAAATTTGCATTCAATGTAAAAATATATTTGAAAGTAAAATACTTTCTTAATTAGAACAGCTAAATAATTTGATTCCAAATACAAATACATACATGTATCATAATTATTATATTTGACTCACACTAACCTTATTTAATTCCAGCTGGTGCTGCAACCGGAGACTGTTTACGAGCGCGTGCAGTATCAATTTGAGGAGGATGCCTTCGATACGGTGCCGGATTTGATCACCTTCTACGTGGGCTCCGGCAAACCAATATCAGCTGCCTCTGGCGCCCTGATACAATATCCATGCAATCGCACATATCCACTATCCTTTTATGGCCACAAGATTGTGGGCAATCAGCTGCACTCACAAATGCTGGCCGGATTGCGTGGCTTGAGTCCATTGAACTCGCCCATGGGCAACAATAATGCAGGCGGCTCCGCAATCTTTCGCTTTGGCCAACTAACGGGCGATGTTGCAGCAACCCAACAGCAACAGCCACAACAACAGCAGCAGGCTGGAACGCCCGCCAGTCCGCATTGTTCACCACCTCGAGTGCGTCGGGATGTACCGCCGCCTAGGCTGCCCTGCAAGAAGCAGCAACGCTCACAGAGCTTAACACCTGCCCAGGCGATGGTGGTGTGCAACATTAACAAGCAACAGGAGCAGCAGCAACAGCTTGGCGCAACAGATGCCACCAATGGCCATGGCCTGGCCCGCTTTCAGACCATTGCACGCTGTAATCCCACCAGCGATATGCAGTTGCAGTCGCAGCATTTGGAGCACAAGTTTAGCACACAATCGCTGCCCCGCCCGAGCACTTCGGCAGCGCAGGCGCTTCGCCAACAGGCAGCGGCACGGATTTGCAGTTTAGCGCGTAATTGCAGTCTTGATACGCCCGATCGGCCACCAAGTCCGCCGCCCAAGCCACGTAAGGAACCAATGGCCGCAGTGCTGGCATATCAGGCAAGCGGCTCGGATTCTGGTAATGGTTCAGGCGACTCAGCACCAGGCGATATTAGCGAATTGAGCATACAACGCGGTGGTGTAATTATCAAAAATCCTCGTTTTATGAGCAGCTCGATTTCAAACGGTACTTTGAAGAGCTTTACGGAATTCGACGCCATAGCAGCTGAAGAGCAGCTCTTCACACTGCCCATTGAGGAGTTTAAACTGGTAAGCACACATATTATATATTTTCAGCATAATATAAATAACTGCATTGTAATATTTGTATTAATAGTATACAGGTATTTGTATTAATAGTATACGCGCACAAATGAATTAATATATTAAAACGCCATCGATTTTCACACGCGCCATTTTTAAAGTGGCAATAGAACTGCCATAGACAAAAAGGCGCAATCTATTGTGAACTAAGGTATTGCCACCTTACGCGCTTTTATTTGAATACACATAATTAATAGCATATGTAAATTACATATCCAGCAACAGTCCGCAACATCATTTTAACAGCTTCGTAGCTGCTACGTGAGAACTCTGTTAATTGTACCTTAATATGCAGCTACATTTTGTTTATTTTAATTATTCTATTTTACAAAAATTCAAGTAAATTTACTTGTATATTAAACCGTAACAAAATGTTTTCATATACGATCGACACACTAACCATGGTTAGTGATCGACATCAAATTCGAAATTTAAATTCAAACTGAGCGATCAAATCAATACATGTTTGCACGAGGTGGCAATGTCTGCCCAACTGTTTAAATCATAGTGGCAACGCAATTAATACATACGTTAAAGCTTAAATTTTATTACGTTATTTAGCCTGTTAGTTCGGAAAACCATTAGATTATTTAAAAATTTAAGAGATTCATATATATACTATTTAAAAATGTATACTCACATACATACATATATATATATATATATATTTATAGTGATTGATCAATGATTCGTTCTCGCTTTGCAGTGCAGCAAATTTGATTTCGAGAATTTTAGTACGTTGCTGTTGCCTTCAGTGGAGAATAAACCGCTAGATGGAGATGCGTTGAACACATTCAAGATGATGTTGCTAGAAACGGGTCCCAAGCTACTGGCCGAGCACATTACACGCATCGATGTAGGCCTATTTCTGGACAAGCCTGCTAATGACTCAGATTGCTATTTAAGCTGTTCCGGTCTGGAGCTGCTGACCCTGCCGCATGGCAAAGTGTTTCGCGAGGACATCATTGAGCGAACACAATGCATCAAACTAATGGTTGCCGTGACCATACTCACCTGTCAAACGGACCTGGATCGCGCCGAGCTACTCAGCAAGTGGATACAAGTTGCGGTGGAAACAAAAACCGCGCTGGGCAATCTGTTTGGATTCTGTGCCATTATGTTGGGGCTGTGCATGCAGCAGGTGAGTTGGATGAAACTTAATAAAGGATATGGTTTACATTTGAGCAATTTCAATTTTAGATACAAAAACTGGACCAGGCCTGGCACATTTTACGCCAAAAGTACACGGACAGCGCCTTCACGTTTGAGGCCAAGCTCCGACCCACTTTGAGCAGCATGAACGAAGCCTCCAATCCGCAAGCGCCAAACACAACTGTGCCCCACGTTCTGCTATACGCGCTGCTCATCGACAGACCCATTTTAGATATTATCGATCATAGCAATGTGGATGAGCGTCCCGCACTCTATAATACCTGCATTGCGCCCTGGGAATCGAAGGCAGATGATTTCGGCATGACCATCAACTTTCAACATTTGGATGCATCACGTGGCTTTCTTAAGAATTTGGATCTATATCGCAAGAATGCTAAAATTATAATGGAAGAGGCAAGCACAAGATTAGATGAACTGCTGGCGGATGCTTTTCGGTAAGTATATGTTCCACTCGAATTAAATCTCTTTGGCTGATGACATAATTTACCTTAATTCAGCACTGAATTCCACGTCAAGTTCCTGTGGGGCAGTTCAGGTGCCACGGCCAAACCCGAGGATCGGCATGGAAAACTAGAGAAGGTGCTAACATTGATGGCAGATAAATTTTGTAGCGTCAGCGCTTAGTTGCATAAAAAAAAAAACAAATGAGTAAACAGCGATATTATATGGACTCTAGTTTGTAAGCTAAGATATTTCTTAACACAATCAAAAAACTAAATACTTATACAAGTCTTATACAAGTCTTATACTCTTAGTCCTTCTACTTCGCAGCTATCCCACAATTTTATCCAATTCTCTGTAATTTTGTGCTGTTTCTACCTCAGCCTATGTGTGTATAATTTTATATACAAACAAAAAATAGATGCGCTTTTGTTACAGTTCAAATAATTTATAAAAAACAAAAAAATATTTAAAATTTAGTTAAGCCAAGGAACTAATTAGTATTGTTAAAACATCTCTTTAAAAAAAACAAAAAAAACATTTTCATGCTGGAATTAATCAAAATGTATTTACATCTAAGATAGGCATGCTGATTCTCTAAGAGAGTTGGTATTAACCGATAGATATTGAAGCACACTACCAAAGGCATTTATAGTTTAGTACTTAAAAGACACATGTAATCCAACTATTTAAAGTATTATATACACATACTATAGATCCGACAATATACAGTTAATCAAATGCATACATATAATAATAGCAAACATGCAACAAGTGTAAACCGTATACTAAATATAATTATAATATAATTTTTTGCAATTTTATAAGTGATAGTGCGGTAAACTATAATAAAGAAAATAAAGGAAAGCAAATAACGATAAGTGTTTTATATATATACAGACATACTTATCGTTAAAGGAAGTAAGGTATTGTGTAATTTAAGCAATTTGAAACTTTAATTAATAATTTAATTATTTGATTTTTTTATTGAAGTATATGAAGTATGAAGGAAATATCGTATTCACATATTATACTTCATATAATTACAGGAAAAAAAGTAAAGAGAAAAGAATAGAGATTAATATGTAGTAAGAAATAATTTAAAAACACTTCGAATGGATTAATTAGCTCAATACTAAATAATCATATATTAGTTGGGGTGCAATCTAAACAGATTCGATAGATAGGGATTATCGTTTAGATTTCTTTAAAACGCTCCAGATATGCTTATTTATAACTACTTGAACTAATGCCCGAATAACGATAATGGGCACAGCTCACTCGCCATGCGAAATGGCAAATAAATTGTGCACTTCCACTTGAGTCCCACACTAGCTTTATCAGCAGCCACTCCATAGCCGAGCAGACTTATCACAGAACGCGAGAATAATAATACACTTACTTATGTATCATGAAGTGAGCGATTAAAGTGCCAGAGAACCCATTGACATTGTCGAACCAACAGGGCAGCTAAGCGGTTGTTACTTTACACAACTTATTTAAAACTAGCTCCTCAACGCCAAACTCTTGAACTCAGTGGAAAGCTTCAGAGGCATCCGACCGAAGCTTGTGAGCCCAGCAAAAGCTCTAGCGAGCACCTGTTAGACGAGTATGAGTGGCGGCAGTGGCGGCTTTCGCTGCAATCGCAAGCTAACGTTGGCCATGAGCGGCGGCTTTATAATTTTGGTGATCGCACTGACGGTCGGCCTCTGTGTGGGGCTCAGCGGCAGCAATGACGTCACAGAGGTGAGCTAAAATATATAAACAAGTTAGAGGTTAGGGGATGCTCTGAATAGTATAAATAACTAATATGATAATCATTCAACAATTTGTTTGGAAGATTAAGACGCGCTTTTTGGTTAAATAAATCCTATCTTCAGCAATCTTTTAGAACGTGATAAAAACATGTGTCAGTCTAACCACAGATATCTAGTATTTGGAATAAGTTTTTTTCCGGCATAGCACAAAAGAAAAATCAGAAATCACCTGCTCGAATACAAAGTCAATTTATCGATTATTATCGATACAAACGAAATGACATGAATTATCGGACAAAATTTATAAACTCGTATTATCTTATGTGGCTTTAGAGATCTCGACGTTTATACGAACGGACGGACGGACAGACTGACATAGCTACATAAGTATATCGAGTCAGCTTGCCCTAATCCAGAATATATATTGTTTATGGGATCTGCTACAGCTGCTTCTACACAGTTTCTTATACACATATTCATAAAACAATTATACCCAATTTTCCCATTTACAATGGATTCGGAGTATAAAAACAAGAATTTTAGTCAATTTAAATTAACAGTGGTTAATTATTGTCAATCTTGATATGTTTTCAGAATGAGGAGACAACTTCTTTCAGCATTGATCACCAGGCAAACACTTTCCTCTTGAATGGAAAACCATTTCGTTATGTCGCCGGCTCATTTCATTATTTCCGGGCTCTGCCTGAGGCTTGGCGTAATCGTCTGCGCACCATGCGTGCAGCTGGTCTCAATGCATTGGATACGTGAGTAGCTATCGATAATATAATATAATATATATATAGGATAGGTTGTGTAAACGGTAGGACGTGACTGTGGCACACTTTGAGCAACCGCAAGGCAGACTTGAATTTATGAATCAACATTGTCAATGTGTCTTACAGCTCCGATAATTTTGCAGCTTTTACAAGCTGATAAAACTGTGATACATTCAGAAATTTAATTACTTAAAACATTCTCAAGGCTGAGATTTAAAAACGAAAATTAACATAGAGCAAGCCTGAGCATGTGGAGCTCTGATTTTATGCTACGATGTATATATAACCGACTACATGAAAGACTTAGGCAAAGTTGTTTGAGAGATCTGTTGCTATAATAAAATATAAATATAGACTTCGATGTTTATAATATGCCAAAGAAAAATTAAGAGGCAGCTCCATATTGGAATGGAATATACAGTAATACTCTTAAAACTATAATATTAGTATATAAGTAGAACAATGTAACAAGTATAGTATTTACGAATAAACTGTTATATATACTACATATTTGAGTCTAATAATAATTGAATATATCAAACGACTCAATTATTAAAATAATTGATTGAAAATTAGAGCAAGTAGATAATACTTTTAAAATAATCATTAAATCATTAATCACTTATTTCTAATCTCTGTATTTTTATCTTTCCGCCTCAACAGCTACGTTGAGTGGTCGCTGCATAATCCGCACGATGGTGAATACAATTGGGAGGGCATAGCCGATTTGGTTAAATTTCTGGAAATAGCTCAAGAAGAGGACTTTTATATAGTGCTGCGTCCCGGTCCATATATCTGTGCTGAGCGCGATAACGTAAATAACGAAAATTTGATTATATAAATCACATTGAATAATTTTAATCTTAACACACAACCCAGGGCGGTCTACCCCACTGGCTGTTTACAAAATATCCGGACATCAAAGTGCGCACAAATGATCCCAGATATATAGCCGAGGTCAGCAAATGGTATGCAGAGCTAATGCCACGCCTGAAGCATTTGCTTATCGGCAACGGCGGCAAGATCATAATGGTGCAAGTCGAGAACGAATATGCGGCATACTATGCCTGCGATCATGATTATCTGAATTGGTTGCGCGACGAGACCGATAAATATGTGGAAAATAAAGCGCTACTGTTCACTGTGGACATTCCAAATGAACGGATGCACTGCGGAAAGATTGACAATGTATTTGCCACCACGGACTTTGGCATCGATCGCAGTGAGTAGAATAGATTTGAGATATATGAGAGCACTTTGAAAAGTAGCCGATCTTAAAGTGAAGATGAAGACAGTTAAATATAAAAATTAGAATTTTAGAAATGCTCAGTTTCTATAATCAAATAGCTAATATAATATTTTTGAAAAGAAAGATTTTGCCGGTCTTAACTGTCAGCATCCTTAAGATAAATTCCATAGAATTCATACTCTCTTACACTCATACTTTCTTTCACTCTACACTCTCTTATATTTCACAACTCTCTTATACTCTACTACTCTATACTCTTCTCTCTACTCTCCTTCACTGTACACTCTCTTATACTCTACTTCACTCTACACTCTCTTATATTCCACTACTCTCTTATACTCTACTTCACTCTCTTATACTCTACTATTCTCTACACTCTCTTATGCAGTCCATGAGATTGATCAAATCTGGAAATATCTGCGCAGCGTACAGCCTACTGGACCATTGGTCAACTCGGAGTTCTACCCAGGCTGGCTCACCCACTGGCAGGAGATGAATCAGCGACGTGATCCGCAGGAAGTGGCCAGCGCTTTAAAGTACCTTAAAAAAATTATATTAGAATTTCTATCGGAATAACTTAATAATAATCAACTTCTCCCTTTCAGGACCATACTCAGCTACAATGCCAGCGTCAATCTATACATGTTCTTTGGCGGCACAAATTTCGGTTTTACAGCCGGCGCCAATTACGATCTGGATGGCAGCATTGGCTATACGGCGGACATCACCAGCTATGACTACGATGCGGTTATGGATGAGGCGGGCGGAGTTACCAAAAAGTATGAGCTAGTCAAGCAAGTGATAGGCGAGGTACTGGAGCTGCCCAACATTGTGCTAAATCCCGCCAAGCGTTTGGCATATGGCAAAGTGGAGCTGACACCCACAACGGAGCTGCTGTCGGCGGAGGGACGCGCTGCCCTGGCCAAGGGCGCGCCCGTCAAGTCCACGAAACCCAAGTCCTTTGAGGAAATGGATCAGTATTCGGGCCTACTGCTGTACGAGACACCACTGCCCAGCTTGGATCTGGATCCAACGCTGCTGCAGGTGGAAGATTTACGTGATCGAGCGCACGTCTTTGTCGACCAACAGCTGGTGGGCACATTGTCCCGGGAGGCGCGCATCTATGCGCTGCCCCTGAGCAAGGGCTGGGGCAGCACGCTGCAGCTGCTCGTCGAGAATCAGGGGCGCATTAACTATGATCGTGCCAACGACACCAAAGGCATCTTTGGCAAGGTGACGCTCCAGCTGCACAATGGCGGCGCCTTACCGCTGGAGGATTGGACAACGACGGCCTATCCACTGGAGGCCATCACCATTGAGAACTGGCGCCAGAAGTTGCCAGAAAATGCGGCCCTCGACTCGTCGATAGCCAAGCAGCGACTGCTACGCTCCGGACCCATACTCTATACGGGCAGCTTTCAGGTGTCCGAGGTGGGCGACACCTATCTGAACCCGGCTGGCTGGGGCAAGGGTGTGGCCTATGTGAATGGCTTCAATTTGGGACGCTATTGGCCTCTGGGCGGACCCCAGATAACGCTCTATGTGCCCAACGAGCTGCTCAAAGTCGGATCCAATTCCCTGGTGCTGATCGAGTATCAACGCTGCAATAAGACCACAAATGGGCCAGAGCTGCCGGCGGTCCAATTTGATGCAGTTGCTCAGCTGGATGGAGAGTCCAGCGAGGCACAGAAGTAGACAGAATATTTTTTACTTTTGTTAATTTTTATTTTTTATTATTTTTATAATTTACAAGCGTTTTCTTTTTTTGTTTATTAGAAGCAGTTATTGATTTTGCTGTCGCAACAACAACCTTGACAAGCATTTCTTTATTTAATATTTGCTAATCTTAGCTGTTAATTTTCTTATATAATAAACATTGCTTAATTAATTCAAAATTGTTTGCATTTTACTGACTGACATTTTATTATAAATTATTATAATTTTAGCTCCTTTTCAATTGACTCTTTTGTTATTCAGGAATTTCTTTTTATTTTCCGTGTTTGCTCAAATTAATTTAATTATTATTATTATTTTTTTTTTTTTTTTTTTTTTTTTTTTTTTTTTTTTTTTTTTTGTTTAATTTAGATTTGATTTTTATTTCAATTTTTACTTACACTTAGTTTTCGTTTTTTTTTTCTAAATTTTTTTGTTCATTGGCAAATGGAGATTCTGATTTATTGTTAAATTTGTATTTTTAATTCATATTTATTTTGTGTTTCTTAGTAAAAATATTTTATTTTGTGCATCGAGACAATATTTTCTGCCTTTTGTTAATAGCATTTAAAAAATTATTTGTAGAGTATTAAGTACATTTAGCTTTCGAGATTCTCAAAAATATATTTGAAAATTAGAAAAATAAATCTGTTGTGTTTAATGTAAATTCTTCGAAATACAATTATTATTTTTACTTGTAATATCAAAATATTATATTATAAATTTGTTTCTTTTATGTTACTTATTGTTTCCTTAGGGCAGTATTGTAGTAGGGGAAATATAAGAGGTTAACAGATTCGAAATATTTTCAAACATAATAAAAGTCTCAGGTATCAAACAGAATACAATTCTTAGTTTTAGTTAAATGAGTTTACAATGATGTATGCTAACAGATTCAAAGTATTTTAAACATACAGAATACAATTCTTAGTTAAAATTAAGAGGACTTGCATAGTGTGTTACAACCCATGGGTTAAACAAATATATATTGTATACATATATGTACGTATGCGACAACTTGTTAACAATATTAATTCATTGTGCAAAACTTGTTTCGACTAATTCGACAGCAGTCTTATTTAAAAACAAAAGAACGAACTTATAACGAACACAAGACAGGTGATTTTTCACAAATATATGTATATATGTATTATGCAATAGTAAATGTTAATTGCAAATTAGGAAAAAATTGCAATGAATTATGTAAAAATATATATATTATTCATTATTATATATTATATTACATACATCAGCATGCGGCGCGTACAATTTAAGCTCGTCCAAAATCTAATCAGCAAACTACTTGGCTTTTTTTTTTTATTTAATTTTTTATTTTTTATTTTTTTTTTTTGTTAAGTGCCCCCACATAAAATTTCTTTGTTTATACTTTTTGTTCTCTAGTGTTATAAAAAATACTGCAATATATTTATAACATATATTTTGTCTCTAGATTTTTGCTGTTTACATTTGAAATGAAATTTCGTGTTCAGTAAATACCCTTGCAGTAGAATTTTGGTTGGGAATGTTGCATTATTATTTAATTTGTTAACAGATACCCTATACATTATTATACACTCTGCTAGGGTATATTCGCTTCGGATTGCCGAAGTTTTGCATGCTGGAAAGTTGGATTTGCATTTTGAAATATATTTCATTATTTTTTCATTTCATTTCTATACATTTACTAAAAATATATCACAGCTGCATTTCGAGTTAATTTACTTGTTCTCTTCTTCATTTATATGTATATATATATATATATATATATATGTATATATAATATATTCTCGTTTATCGTTTTTTTTCTTTTTGTGTAAAAATGTATAGAAAATTGTGTTTTGCGCATTCTTATTATGTTTTCTTTAGGGTAAAAAAGAAGCTTACGTAAAACAGCAAAAAATTTGGCAACCTAGTTAATATTTAGTCAATGTCTATGAAGACGGAATGCGTTTACGTTTAGTAGATATATATACATACATACATCGACATACATATATATATATATAGTTAGGTATTTATAGTATAGGTAACTAACCGAAGCGTTGATTTAGATGATGCATAGTTGTAGTTATAGTTGTTGTAGTTCTTGTAGTTAAAGTTCAATTGCGGCTAGTTGCTGTTTGCTGTCTGTGATCGTCGCTTACCTGTCTAAATTGCTGTGGGGGCAGCGTGCGCCATTTGTCAGTGCCATTTCGATTTTTGTGTATAGATATCAGCGCGTAAATTTTGCGCAAAACAAATGCCCAGAATCTGTAAGGTATAGAAAATATTATAAGCAAATTCATTCACTGATAAAAATCTGTTACATTAAAAAAAAAAAAACAATAAATAAATAACAAAAACTAAACACCTGAAAGAACATAACACCAATAGCAACCGTGGAAATAATAATTAAATTATGCTCAATCCATTCTTCGCCAGCCTGAACGCAGCCTTTCTCATAAATAATCTTTGAAAGCTCCATGCCCGGCGGCGTACTCTGCAAATAATGAAAATGGCGAAAATCGAATAAATATGAATTAAATAATATAAATAAAAATACGGTGAATAAATAATATTATATAATAATTAAAGAGAGAAAGTTGACTAAAACGAATATGGGCTTACAAGCCCCTTACTGGCTGCCATAAACATATAAATAAAACATGATGCTCTAAAAATAAACAATTTAAGATATAAATATATATACATATATCTCTATATATACATATATGTGTAACTCTTGCTCAGCACCTGCATGATGAGCAGACCAACGACTGTGGCAGCCACACCAATTAAATGCGACTCCAGCCAATCCTCTCCAGCGCGCAAGCATCCGCGCTCATGTATATTTCTATCCACTGGCTGTATGCGTGCATTTCAAATGAATTAAGTCTGAAAATCTGTAGTTAAGCTATATTGTTTTTGCCTCTCAACTTACGTAGCCCTCCTTGCGCACATCGTAGCCGCATTGTTTGTTCTTGATCACCTCCTGCGGTCGCCGGCGACAGCAGGAGAAGGGCACACCACATGCCTCGCGGCTGCCAATCGCAATTGAAGAGCAATTGAAATAGTTATTGCTATCCCAATCCTTCGGCCCATCGATGCCGCAACATTGCAGCCAATCCTCCTGTATCCAATCAATCAGATTCTGTTGATCCGGATCCTCGCGATAGTGCTTGATAAATGCTCGCAGGCCTTCAGTAGCTTGATCCTTGATCTAAAGATAAAAATATATTTATTCATTAACCGGATGATTTGAGCTCAACTTTAATATCATCATTATAATCATTATAATATTTCAAAATATGTAGCTATAAATAAATACGCTTTAAATGAAATAAGCAAAAGCTCGATTTATAATCAGCTAAGCAACGCATTAAGCGCATGCTTTGTTTACATTCAGTAGCCTCAATTCAGCTTTCCCCACTAATTAGTATGCAGCATACCACGCGCAAATGTTAACAACTTACCCAGCCTTTGTCCTTGAGCACAAACGCGAGCCCGCAAAAACCAATCTCACTTAACAACAGAACGCTCAGAAATATGGCATACTGTAAATAAATAATGTATAATGCGTATACATATATAGTATATATTGGGCAGGCAGTATTTTGTATAACTTACGGCGCTCAGCAGACACGTATTTTCTCGCAGTGCACCCACACTGCCCATTAGACCCAACATAAATGTAATGGTGCCCAGTATGATGAGAACAAAGGCGGGATCTAAGGCAATAAATGTTAGCTTGCTAATATTGCGAAACATATCCTTTTCAGTCCAGGCCCAAATGCCAACGGAGAGCACCACAAGTGCGGTCAGCCAGATGATAACATTGCTGGTAAAGAGCAAATATTTGAGGCAGCAACTGATTTCACTTGTTTCGCGACGATATTTGCGCACTGCGGGCATTTTTCCGAGAGTTGATGGTGGCGGCGGCGGCAACAGCAACAGCTCGTCTGGATGATGTTCCCTAATTGCTACGGAATGATTATGCTTCTATTATACACTATTACTAATGACTGGGTATTTTTGTTATTTTTTGTTTAATTTTAATTTTACTAGAAAAGCTGTGTTTACCAGCCACAGATTTTCGACTTAGCAATTGTGCGACACGAACAGAAAATAAGAAAATCTGTAGGTTAGTACGAGAGGCATGATAGTTGTTAGCCTTTTCGAGTGTCTGTTATTAACATCACAAGCTTTAAAGTTGCCACTGTTTGGCGATGAGCGTTGCCAGACTGCTGTTTGGTAATGTAAAAATTCATACGGGCTTCTAGATTTTTTAGTAGAGTCTGTACAGAATACTTACTCCACCAGCTAACGGCACTACTCCTCACTTAACAGACGTATCTAATGTAAGCAGCTCAAATCGTTTGCACAGTTCACATATTTGTCTTCGCTCTTAACAGCATAGACTCACTCCCCCATTTAAGTTACTCTTTACATTGACTTTGGTATTTTCTGTATGTGCTGTTGTAGCACTCCGGTATTTAATTGAATACAAGTGATAGCCACACTGATTTTCATCGTCGTGTGCAGTTGAAAAGGCAGTAGAAAAGATCAGTACCAAGGAAAATAAATATAACAATTAAATACCAAATAGAATTGATTAAGTGCTGTGTGCGTGGACATATGAGATATTTTGGGCAAGTGCACGCATACAAACAGCGTGCTCGGCCCCATTACCTATGACGACAGTGAGTTTAGTTTTTCTTTCACTTCTACCCTCTGTGTATGCGTGTGCGTGTGTGAGTTTCGCTGATGGCTGAAGCAGAAAATGTTTAATTAGCAGACGAAATATGGACAAAACACATACATATATAATACGCCATGCCCAAAACGTTGCAACAAATCAAGCGAAACTTAATTTTAATCTATAGTGTGCTCTGAAAAAGACAGTTGGAATCAACCCCCCGCGTTTTAATCAAAGAAAAAAACTTGTATGTGTGCGGTTGCTGCTGCTGCTACTTCACCACTGTTAGCAGCAAAGTCAAAAAGTAAAGAAAAAATTATTAAAAAGTGAAAATATAGTTATTATGAAAAACGCCTGATACAATATTCTTCGTGAACTTTCTGTGAATTTTTTATAAGCTCTCACACATTGACAAAAAAAAAGAAGCAGCCACAGCAGCAGCACCAACTATGTAAAGTGCGTTCTCAGCCTTTGGTCGCCATCATAGCAGAGACGTTGCCGTCGACGTCGCTGCTTGCCTCCTGTGCGTGTGTGTGTGTCTAGCGCAGTTAATCCCTACAAATATTGTGATCCCACGCTTGAATATCAATTTCAATTACAGGCCACTCAAATAATTATGCAAAGTGTAAAATTTCATTTTTTTAAAAAGTACAGTGTTGCATTCATACACACATACACACATTGATGTATGCTCAAGCATACATACATATATTATACATACATACAAATAAAAACATTTCAATGTGCAATATGGTGGACAGTGCGTAAAAATCACAACGTCGACGGCGACGTCAACGTCTACATTTGTTAACTGCTTACTATTTTTGTAGTAGACATGGCTGATGTTGTTGCTGCTGTTTCTGCTGTTGTTACTGGGCTTGGTTGGCAACGGAAAACAGTTTTTAGCGCAGATGCAGCTAAACCAAAGTACATTAAATCAATTGCATTTGACAAAGTAAAACGATTTTCAGTGCTAATTTTGCTAAGCATACGAGATATACCAACATACGTATATACATACATATTTATGTATGTATAGAGAAATGCTATTGTGTGTTTCTATACGTATATTGTATACCTGTGCGCACTTGTGACTGTGTGCGTGTGTGTGTGTGTGTAAGTGTAAGTAAGTTTGCGTATATGTGTTTGTGTTCGACTGAAAATGGAAATTATATAAACCCCTTTTTTGAGTGCGTGAGGCGCTTGAGATTAAAACAGCATGCGGTTCTTGGGCTTTAATTATTTCCACCAAAACTCACACACACATACACGCATACACTAACCTAACGATCAATATGGCAACATAGGTTGACGAAAAACGTTGCCAACTTTGTCAAGACTTTGTGAAATTCTCATCGTTGGCAAGCAAGCCCGCAGCGTTAACATTTTACCAATCAATAATTTGCAAACGTCAATTAAAGCAAAAATTTTGTGGCTAAAGACATATAGAAAAGAAAATATTTAAAAACAAACGCTCAAAGCATACGCACTCACGCCGCTGCCCGTGTCATCATCAATTCTTACATATGTACGTATGTATGAATGTACATTGAAAAACGGTACTCTCATTGCTCTCACACGGAGAGATAGAGTGTGGCTGCCCATCTGTGTGTCTGTCGTCTGCCTGTCCGCTGTGATCAAAGAACCACTCATACTCAAAATTTGTTCGCTCACTCAGTTACTCCCTTGGGTTCTGCATTGACGTTGTCGTTCCTTTAGATTGGGCTGGGTGGTGGCGGCGTCGCCCCACTTTTTGTGTGTCGTGTGTGTGTGTGAGTGTAAATTGTAACAACAACCACCAAAGGCAAAGCTTTTTGCTCAGCGAATACTGCCGCGGCTTCCTTTTGTCTATTTGGACGCCGCTGCTGCTGCTGCAAAAAAAAGAAAAAAGCCTCAACCGGAACTTTAACATCGCTGCCGGCGTCGATGCCGACACCGACGTTTTTCAATATGGCTTCTTTAAGCATTTCAATTTCATCGCACAATAAATATAAACATTTTGTGGCTGAGTAGTTTTGCCTGGAAATACGCAATTAATGCTGGAAAGTAAGAGCTTTTCCAGCTGCAGTACCAGCTAAACTAACGGTTCGTGTGCGAGCGCTCCGCAGAACAAATGGTTTTAGAATTTTACACACAAATATATATTTGTATGTATGTAAACAGCCATATATACATACATATTGAATGTGTAAATTTTGTTGCTATCGGTCGTTATGTTATACATACACACAAAAGTAATGATATGTGTACATATAAATATGCATAAATAATGTAGATGTACATATTTAAATGTATGTACATAAGTAAATTTTGTGCGCTCCATTTTTCTATGCAACAAATTCATTTTTCCTGTTGCTCGATTTTAGTATGCGCCACACATACACACAATTTATGTGTTATGGAAAGTAAAGAAGAAAAAAGCACTCCTGTTGGCATTGCTGTGTATTGTGCTTGTATGTTTGTGTTAGTGAACAAAACAGAATTGCAAAATAAAAACATAACATGCCAAATGTTGTTTGTGCGTTACCAACACTGCAACACTGCGCTGCATCCGTGTTAACTCCCACTCGCACATTCGTTTCGCTCACTGCTTATTACTCTCTTTAGCTCTCTCCGTGTCACTCTCTCTCTCCCGACAGACAGTCGTAAGCTCAAAACCACCCCCACCCCTTGCACCCATAGTTGGCGATAGGCGTTCTTTGATCACGTAGACGAGTTTAGTTTGTTTGTCATTTATGTGGGGATGTGTGTGCCATTTATTTGCGCTTCGCCTTCCACCCGGTCAAACAGTGGGAAACAGTGCACAGGTGTATGAGTGTGTGTGTTCCTACATTATTCAAAACAGTTTTTTATGATATGAAATTTTCTTCACTTATCGTTTAGTCAATGTTATATTGATGAAACTTTTGCGCAAACAAAATTTATTGCTTCGTTTATTGTGTTTAAATAGAATTTATTTAGATTTTAAATATTTTCTAATTTGATCAGCACTTAGAACACTATACAGACTCATTTCATATTAGTAATATACCAAAAAAAAATAAAAAAGAGAATAAATAAAAAAAATAATATTAAATTGAAAAATTAATTTAAAATAAATATACAATTTTTTGTTGATTGAAAAAAAAAAGAAGATTGTTATTATATTACAACTTTTATAAATTAACAAAAAATTAATTAACTACTTTGCATTTCTAGCCTAATACTTTATATGCAATTCTTTAATTTTTATCTCTTTATTATGGTCAGTGAGGCACTTGAAGGGATTACAATATAATTACATACATACATATTGATTTATTGCAATTATTATTTATTTTTTTATCAACTTGTAAAGTGTTGGCTGATAATTTAATCAAGCATCAGAACGAACTGAGCCAAATACAAATGTGATTGCAGGCGGTGCAATTGCTTGTAAGTGTGCGTTTGTTTTCTGTATCTATATATAGCTGTATATCAATGTGTGAGTGAGTGTAGGTACGTTTGAAGAATAGTCTCCGATTTTAATGCCATACAACCCCCTCGTTTAAACGGCGAGAGACGCTCTCACATACACTAATTCTATAAATGCCGTTTACTGTTTTTGTTTACCTGCCTGCTAGTTCGAGAGGGGTTGTGCGTGATTCGGTGTATATACTTGTATGTGTGTGTGTGTAAATTTCTCTCTCTCTCTCTCACTCTCTCTCTTACACTCTATTACAATTACAACTGTTCACTTGCGTTCGTTCATGCGTTTAAACATATGAAAAAAGGTTGACTGGCTGTTCTTGGCTCAGTGTTGAACAGTGTTGCACTAACACACACTCACAAACACATATATATACACATAGGCACACACTTGTAACTGTGAACTGTGTTCCTCTGCTGGTCACACTTGGCAGTCAGGCCGCAAACTAGAAAATGGCCATGTTTATTGAGATTGTGGATTGTTCAACCCCAAAAATAGAAAAATGGAAACATTATAAATAAATATGTTAGTAACGAAACGTAATGTAAACGGAAGTCAATGAAGTACGTTTACTAATAACTGGGATTTCGAGCGAACAGCAAGTACATAGAACTTAATAGACGCGTTTATTGAAAAAGTAAATCCATATCGACAAACAACAAATTTTTGATCATCAATTGTTAATTGTGGACTAAACGTTGTCTTTCCATACTTATTTGCAGAGCTGAACAAGGTCCAGCAGCCGTTGCAGCAGTTTATTTCGAGACCCCATAAAGTCCCACATGTCCGCCAAAGGTGAGGCGGACAGTTTAGCCGCCAATGGCGGCGGCGGCACTGGAGGCGCCAATAGCAACTCCAATGGCACCGTAACACCGGCGCGACGACTGCGCACCCGCAACTCAACCGGAAGTGGCAGCGAGTCGGCCAAAAAGAATACAAACAACAGCAGCAGCCACAATAATAATAATAATATTAATAACAATAATAGCAGCAGCAACAACAACAACAATAACGAATCGGCTGCAACG